AAGCATAACTTATCAAAAATAAAGATACTTGCCCAAATTTAGAATAAAAAAAAATAATATTATAAATGATAAATAGAAATAAAAATAGAATACAAAAATTTTAAGATAGATAGATTTTATATTCAGATCTTTCTTTAAATGTATAAGACATAATTTGCTTATTGATGATAGTGAATAATATAAAAATGATACTTTAAATTACCTTTATTTTCTACTTTCTCCCATTTATCATTCTCATCATCTGTATCTTCTTCAAAAAAAAAACTTCATCAACATTTATATTATAGACGTCATCTTCTTTAATATAATATAAATTTTACTTTAATAATCATTATTATCATCTTTTCCTACCTATCTTCAAAATGAAATGGATATTAATTTTATTCTTATTTTTATTAAAATTATTATCGTTTATATTACTATTTTTAATGGTTCTCCTCTTCTTCATTATTTTACATAAGCATTAATTATAATGAATTTGGATCAGAATGACTATTACAAATCCTCCATTTATAATATATTGCTAAACTGATTTCTATGAATCCCATCATTATTTTAATTAATATCTATTTCTTCAACCTTATCTTCGTTTGTTTCCAATAAAGCTATCATTTATTCTTATTTGCTTCTTAATTATTTATAATAAACCCCGTATCTTATCAATTATATTTATTATATAATTATAATTACCTGAAACTATCATAATATTACTGTATTTATTTTTAAAATTTTGTTAGCGGTGGTGGTTTTTACAATAAAAAAGGTTAAAAGTAAGGTAAATGATTGAGCTAGATAAAGATTTAATAAATATAATAAAATCATTCATCATGGAGAATACAATATGAGCGTGAAGGTAGGTAGATGGGATATTATGTATTCTCATTTGAATAAAAAGGAATACAAATAAATGTAAATTTTATTTAAGCATTAAGAGGAATAAAAATGTATATATAGTGGTGGTGGATCATATAATTAAGAAGGAAATTAGAAAAAGATTGGAAAGTGGATAGAATTGGATGAAGGATTTTATTATAATTATTATAATTAAATCACATATAATGGTGAATATAATATGAATGGTAAGAAAGTAGGTAAATGGGATATTCTGTATATTATGTATGATAGATGGGGAATTGGACAATATAAATAAATGCAAATACTAAATAAGTTAAAAGGGCGAAAATAGATTTAGATATAGTGTTGGTGGATTTTATGATTAAGAAGGAAATTAGAAAAAGATTAGAAAGTGGGTAGAATTAGATAAAGGGTTGATTATTGGAAATAAGTGATTTTTACTGGAGAATACAATATGGAGGTCAAAAAATTGATATTTGGGTAATAATGGATATAAAGTGGAATGAAAAACTAAGAGAAATGAATTAAGATAATTGAAAATAACACAATATACATACAAAAATAATAATATGTTACATCAAATTATTATAAAATTCTTGAATATTTAATGAATACTTTTTAACTCTTTTGATTTAATAATTCCAAATATAAAGATTTGCATATATTTCTATAAAGCTTTTGAAAAAAAAAATTCTCTTTTCCTTTTCTAGTCATTAAGACATTTCAAGTTTAAGCGGCAACTTTGTTCCTCCTTATCTTGATGAAAAACCTGGCTTCTACATTGTACAAGAAGTTAAGTCAAAAGTTTGCCATTCATAAAGAGTAAGCAGTGATAATTGAAACAACATTAAGATATTTAACCATGCTAATTGTCATGGTATGTTATCAACAAACACAATCAAACGTGGATGATAGTTAAAAATTTATAAAGCAAATTGTAGTTCAAACTGATATGAACTAAAGACTCATACTAAATATTATAGTGTAATAACAAGCTTCTTGAGTAATTATTGTCCATATTCATTAGGGAATTAAGGTTTATATACAATTAGAAATGAGGTTCTTTTAATAAGAATTTATTATATTTACTAAACATGAACATATTATTAACTGCTTGTGTTCCTGAAAGAATATGTTTATAAAGTTGGATGGATACTAATACTATTCTTTGAATTGGTTTACTGTATTCACCTAATGCATCTTAAATAAGTTTTATTGATCAAATATGTTCAATTCACCAATCTGAAGCAATAATACTTATATGGATAGATGATTGGTTTATTAAATGAAATAGAAATAAAGTAGAATTATTTATTGATAAAAATCACTAAGTTTTGCGTAACTTATATTAAAAATTATGTGCAAGCTAATATTAAATTTTTAATTAGGTGGATTATTGAATAACAAAATATTATTATTATATTATTAATTTTTTGTATCTTCATTATTTGAAATCTTAATAGATTCACATAAGTTTATAGAATAAATATGCTATGTAAGATAATTATTAATAAAATTTGGACAATAATTCTAAGTTCAATGATGCTCATATTGAACTTTGAACAAAAAAAAGATTAAAGATCACAATTCAGATATATTATAGCATTTATTCTTAAAGATATAAAATTATTTTTATTTCTTAATAACAATAAATATATATTTTCATTTCGTCATCCTTAAATAAATCGATTATTTATATATAAATTAAATAATTATAATTTAATGAATTTATATTTTACACAGATTCAAAATGTTATTAATCCTATATACTAATTATTAATTTAATTCTTATCAAATTATTTT